AAAGCAGAAATACATTCGTAAACAAGATCCATGACTGCTGTGAAGCGACCCTAATTATATTAGGTACGTTTAGCTTAATACAGACTTTCGAATTCTTCATTTGTCACTGGATGACAGTAGTACTCAATTGCGTTAGACTTACGAAATTGTGTTAGAGAATCCAGCTTTTTGTCTGTCCATTTGATATTTTTGATCAAACATTTTACCTCGCTCATTGTGACGTGCCAATATCTCTATCCTGTGTTGTTAATGTGCTTTTTGTGTTTGACATGATTGAGTGAAGTACATTTTGTAATCGTATAGTACTGGTTTCAATCTTAAATAAAGGTAGAAGAAAATAAAACGGCTACTTACTCAAAATTGAAATGATTATTACATCCTTTATCAACATTTAAGCCACGGCGTAGGTGGGATCCTCACGCATACAAAGACGAGGACGACACTTTTCCCATAATCGAACTGAGGAAATCAATTATTGCTAGAAGACGTTTTGATAAAATTTGTCTGGATTGCAATATGTTCATTACTTGAAATTGTAACATAGCATAATACATAATGAAGAAAAACTATTTAGGTTAATGGTTAAAACATGACGAAAGAAAATACTATAAAGTACTTGAATGATTAAATCACTAACAACGGCTCTCAAGAAATGAACTTCATGCAGCAAGACATTCGAATATTCAAATGATGTAGAAAAACATTTATCTAAAACTTATCATGACAAATATACTATATGACGAAGAAGAGATTAAATGCAGTAGAAGGCGATTAGTACGAGTCATGAAATCAAATGACTCAGCTATGAAAAGGATCTGAACGGGTCTTTGTATGAATGGGGAGGTCAATCGTTATGGATGGATGAGAGCCGGAATGAGAAGAAACAGTGGGAAATCTAATCAAAGTTAATGGTGCTATTAGTTTCTAACCGCCAGAGAGAATTCTGAATTCTGATTGGTTATTTAAGTCTAGACTAAAGGCATAAAATCGCATGGGCGCCATTATCCACTCTTCCGTGTGGGCTAAAATGGTTTAACGTCACGTGACATCCGTTGGAGCGCAATAGGCAAAATAGTGGAAGAACAAAAACAGAGAACCTTAGGAGAGGATAGAGAATGAAAGTCGGAGGCAGAAAAGGATAACGAAAGGGTAAAGTACAAGGACAATGAGCCCTCAAGAAAGACAGAAAAAAAGAAAGAAGATGGTAGAGAAAAAAAAACAAAACAGATTTTTGTAGAAAATAGAGAAAAAGTAAAATGAATCATTATCCGACGAAGGAAGAAGGAAAAGGTAGAAAAATAGAAGATAAGAATGTTTGCAAAAAATGAGGAATTAAAGAAAAGAAAAAAAGGATATATTCAAATATTCTGCAAGAATAGAAGAAAAAGAAAAAAAGAGAAAATTGAAACAGAAGAAAACAGTCTGAATTCAATTCAAATATAGGTTAACAATTTAGTCAGCACGATCACTGCCAAGGTGTTTGTCATACATCAGGTTACTTCGTTAATATATTTGTTGAAATTAACAGAGGGAACTTCTCAGGATATATGAAAACCTCCTTTCGTTAGTTTAACACTTTCTAAATGATTATCCATTGTGATCTGAGAATGAAGTATAGCTTTACGGAATCCGATAGGCTAAAATTTATTCAAGTTCTGCCATCTTAATAGCTATTTCTTTCATTTTTATATTACATCACGAAGTAGGTTCATGCTGCCAAACGAATTAAACAACGTGCTGTACAGGTAAATGATATTTTGACATTTGAATCGGAATAAAGCCACGATTTTGAAATTAACCTTCAGCAATAGAAGCTATCTGACTGTAGCGTTAAAGAAGGACACACATATATACATATGCACACGCACGAATATATGTGAAGGGGAGAGAAAGAAAGAAAGAAAGAAAGAAAGAAAGAAAGAAAGAAAGAGAGGAGGAGTCCATGTCCGAAGGAAAAGACAAGTATGTATAACACCTGATAACTCAAAAACGCTAACGTATCTCATTCACAGAAAATGAATTCTGTTAATTCTATGCACTGACAGAAAATAAAACATATGCTGCGGACGCCATATAGTTTGTTGTTGCTTCCCTTACAATATATCTTATCTTGGTCACCGCTTGTACTAGGTACCCATACAGAACATGGTCGACATTTTTTAAAATTTTTATCTGAATTCTGTTGCTAACAATACCATGTCTAACATTTGCTGCAATTCTTCAAAACTTTCTACTTCTCAGTATGATTAACTATGGAAATAAAATAATTAATAATATTATCTTCCCAAATTTCCAAATGACCAAACTTTAAAATTTTGCTTTAAAGCAATTTTTGGTAGACACCAAAATTTCATAATATATAAACATCTGTAATAATTTCAACAGCTCGCCCAATAAAATCCTTTGGATGTTTGTGAATAAACGAGTAAACTCTAAACAGTTTAGTTTTAATTAGACGTTGAAGTCAAACATTTTCATGTCTCACTTTACCGAATATTGACGTATCACTTGTATACAATGATAGCAATTTTCGATTTTCTTTAAAATTATTAGAAAAAAACATGCTTTATATGCACACAGTACTAGAAATAACTTTGGAAATATTTATGTTCAAAACACCCGATATATTTCCATTAATCTCAAAAGAACTAATGATGATTAATGTTTCATAAAAGCTGTTTCCAGTTTCTTTAAATGTCTTCTGAAATTAGAAGTTTTTGAAAAAGCCAGTACTATCTACAAGGACTGCAATTAAAAATTGTTAACCTCATAATTTCTAATAACAACGCGCGTATATAATCCAAACTTAAAACAACCAATGTAATCTATAAATATGTCTGACTAATACATTGGTCACACAAAAAGCTCCTAAGACATTAGGCAAACTATTTGGGTGATCTTAGTTCAATAAGGAAGCACTTAAGCACACATATCCAACTTCATGTAGCCATAAGAAAAATCCTTGTAGATAATACTGTCATTGAAAATGCACTTGTTTGTAAAAGACATTTAAAGATGGAAACACTATAGAATTGCACTGAACATTGTTTGCTATGAAACTAGTTGAAAAGTATTTTTAATAAATGTTCATCAAATATAAGGCCCAAGAACTACTCAATGTGGATGGTTATTTTGTGAAGTCCATGCATGACGGTAAGAAGTAAGTTCAGATTTTTAATATATAGTATGGATAACGGTTGAACCTAGACTTGAAAAAATGAAGATTGTAGTAATCAGGAAAGTATCCTTTCGGAAGTTCGTTCCTTAAATTGTCAGTTTTCGAGAAGAAGTGCTTAGAGTGGAACATACTTCTCTGGTGAAACTATAGAATGGAGCTAGTCTGAACATTTGCCATGGAAACTGATAGATTAGCGAATGAAGTTCCATATGTTGGAAAGGATTGTAACGTTGAAAATAATGTATTGTCCACAAGGTCACGTAAACACATTTGAAATTTTTGAAGCGCTGGGCATCTCCAGAAAAGATATGGTAGCAATTTGTGCCCTTATCTGATTTTGTAACGATATATTATATACTAACAATGAACCTATTGAAAATGCTTAAATATTTAGCCAAAAATGCTTGGAACAATAATTTATACGGTGATAGATAAGAATGTCATCTTCAGGAAGTTGCAACATAAGACGATGGTCATTAAATAATCTGCGAGTGTATGACTCTTGAATTGTCATACCAAAATAAACAGTCATATACTTCCAGCTAATTTAATAAGCAACCTATTATATCGCAACTTATATTTGTTTATTTTTGTATTTCATTTTTGAGACGAGTAATTGTCAACACAACTTGTTTCGAAGTATTGTCCCAAACTTGTTTGCTATTAGATGTTATTATAGATATTATTATAGATACAACATTCCGGTCATCATCAGGAGCCATTGTTTTTTGGCTGACAACAGATGTCGTTTTATTACCGTGTGATTTTGCCCCTGTTATGCTAGTTATAGAAAACCTTGAATAATTAAAATATATTAAAAAATGCAATATGAAATTATCGAAATACGGTACGAAACTGCCACGTGTCGAACTATCTGACACTGATATTCAGTGTCAGAAAAATACACCATGTTAAAGTATTGGATATAGGAATTGGCTAAACATATATCACTGCAATGCAATTCTTGTAAGTTCAATCGCTGGATCAGGTAGTACAGTAATACATGATACCAGTTCAGCAAGAACGAACAATAACTGGCATCTCAAGAACAAAATAGCACAAGAACAGAGATCTAATGATGAGCCACAGAGTATCTGACAATTATTGTTCATTTTTGTAATTAATTTTATCATCTTTATTTTTACAGACGCTATTATAGACAATGTATGTGTGTTTGTTGGGGCTCAACTTGTATATGACATGTTTACGTTGTGGAAGAGAATTTCGTGCAAATCAAATGTTTAATCTAATTATTAATCCAATTAATTAGTATTTCTACTATTTGAGAACTTCTTTGTGTTTACACTGGTATATACTTTTAGGAAATCGAATTCTATTTATGAGTGACTTAGTGAAGTTGGAATGAAATTAATTGATGTAGATTAAAACACTCGCCTTCATATCGACACACACATTCACACGATGACTGAATATATTCTGATTCTAGCAAATTGACCGATAAATACAACGAAAGCAAAAATTTCTTAAGATCAGTCCGAAATAACTACCTTAATATATTAGACGTGTGCGATATTTTCCAGGGAATACTGATTTTTAGGTGTTATTAGATGTCTAACACACATTCTATATATTTATAAAAAAAACAAGGAACCGGTTTTTATCAATAGAACGAAAGCATGTTTCGCTGCCACTACTGAGCTATTTTTTCAGTTGAATATTAATGTGGTAATTTTGATCCTTATTGAAGGCCAACATTTATTGGTGTATCATTGGGTTTTATATTTAAATAAGAACTTAGTTTAAAGTATGTTTCCAAATATGGTACAATCGGGTTTAGTATCCAGTCTCCCACAGGCTGGTCATGGTCCGTCTCAAAGGCGCTGTTATAAACGTCACCGTCATTTCCGTCTACGCACCAACACTGAATGCAGCGGAGGAGGACAAGGACATCTTCTACCGCGACCTAAAAGCAGTTGTAGATCGTACAACTTCCACTAATCTTCTAGTGGTGGCAGGGGATTGGAACACTCGCACAGGACCGGCGGATGAGGGCACCAGACATGTTCTAGGTCGATTCGCCCTCGGAACACGGTGTGACAATGGCGACCGCCTAGTCAACTTTACGGTCGCTAATCGTCTTGTGGTGACTAACACTCGTTTCCAGCACCCGCGACGACATCTCGTCACCTGGCGCTCCAATGACGGTCGTGCATCCAACCAGTTTGTCTACATTCTGGTACGGGCGAGATGGGCAAGCTCTGTACATGACTCTCGCGGGAGAACAGTTCGAGTTGGAACTTCGCAATCGGTTCTCTCTCCTCCGACCAAACTCATAGCCTCAACCAGAAATTGAATGGCAGGCTCTGAAATCTGCCACAGTCAAAGCGGCACACGCCCATCTTGGTGTCACCCGTCACTGATATCGGGATTGGATCACCGGGGAGAGCCTTCGGCTGATGAAGAAGGCGAAGGTAGCGCGACTGACGGGAGCTGCGAACTTTCGCGATCTACAGCGCCGCGCAACTCACTCCATCCGCGCTGACCGAAATGCGCCTTCGCCGAAGAGACTGAGCGTGCGGCAGCCTGTGGCGACTCTCGCAAACTCTACCAGTTGGTGATGCGGGCGAGTTGCGAAACTACGGGGGTGAGTGAGACGCTTCGCTCCCGTGATGGAGCTATTCTGGGCGAGCGGCTAAATCGGTGTAAAGAGCATTTTAAAGAGCTACTCAATCATGAGGTCTGGCTCTCTGAGACCTACCCTGCCGATTGAAGCGAGACCATCCTGCTAACTTTTTTCAAAAAGGGTGATAGGAGACTCTACTTGAACTACAGAGGAATCAGCCTCATCGACGTGGTGACCAAAGTATTTGCAGTGCTTCTTTTGCGAAGATTTCAATGCATCCGTGATCTGCGAACTCGCCCGTCTCAGGGTGGCTTCCGCCCGGGCAGAGGCTGTGTTGATCAGATCTTCAGCCTGTGGCGCATACCAGCAACCAACAGTCCTCTGCTTCGTCGACTTTGCGGCTGCTTTCGACTCCGTTGATAGAGACTCACTCTGGCGTATCATGGAGGCCGATGGCATGCCCGCTAAACTCTTTCGTCTCATCAAGGTCTACTACCGGTCGACGCGAGCTCGTGTTCGTGCTTATGGTGAGGAGTCGGAGACGTTTGAGGTGAAGACTGGTGTGCCGCAAGGGTGTGCCATATCTCCTACCCTATTCAACTATACAATCGACTACATCCTCGGCAAGGCCCTTCGGGACTACGCTGGATTGCGGTTGGTCGGAAGGTCAACGTGTCTGATCTGGCCTACGCGGACGACATTGTCTTGGTCGGATCGAACTGTGACGATGTGCAAGCTGCGCTCAACCGTGTGCAAGCTGCAGCAGGGGATGTGGGCATGACCATCAATGCCTCGAAGACCAAAGTTATGCCGTCCCTGGTTGATCCAGTCAACTGTCAGCCACTGACGCTGGACGGGGTCAATCTGGAGGACGTGCAGTCTTTCTCGGTTCAACCATTATACCATCCGGACAGTCTGCTGCTGAGTTTGAACGCCGTATCGTGCGTCTCAAGTGGTCACTATGGGAGCGATGTGAGATTTCCACGGCTACGAAGGGGCTATCCTTCTCTATGGCTGCAAAACGTGGCCACTTAGAGCGGTTGACCTATGAAGGCTTGAAGTGTTCGACAATGATTGCCTTCGCTGCATTCTACGATGCCGCCGGATCGATCGTGTGCCCACAGCCACTCTATGTCGACGCCTGAGTCTCCGTCCTCTTCCACCCGTCCTGCTCCAACGTCGTCTCCGATGGTTCGGGCACGCAGCACGATGCCAGGAGGGAGAGCTCATCCGCGATGTACTTCTCCCTACTTCTCTTCCTGACTAGCGAAAACGTGTCGGTGGGCAGCTGAGGACGTGGGCTAACACAATCAAGGATGACCTAGCAGTACTATCGGGTCCACAAGTAGTTGGTCTTCGACGATGGAATCGCGATTGGATCGCCATTTCGTGTGACTTGGCTCAGGATCGACGAGCGTGGGCAGCGATGGTCCGTGATGCTGTACTTGCTCGGGAGGAAGCCGGTTCAACCCGACCAGGGTGAAAACCGATACAAGTCAAGTATCCAGGTTATGCTACAGCGTAAAATATATAAATTGAACATATAAACAATATATATTTTTCCGAACCAAAAATCAAAATAATTATCTACTACCAAAAAAAAAAAAAAATCATATTAATTATCTACCAAGAATTTAAAACAGCTAACGTTATCCATAAAAATAACAACAAACAAGCAAAATCAAAATTACAACGAACGAACATTATTTATGAGTTCAAATGCCAATTAAGGAACTGCATTCCTGATCAAAGCGTATTCACAAATAATTACATCGGTCACATTACTACATACCTATCCAGACGTCTTACATTACGCTTATCCCTAGCCACAGCTTCATTAGAACCTATTTAAGCACACATATAAACTTATCAGACACTATCCGAAACATAAAACATGTAAAAAAAGATTAAAAATAGTGCAAGCCTTAATAATAAAAAAATCCAACACTCAATAATATTAACTCAAAACACGGATACAATGTTCAGAAAATGTGTTCAGAAAATCAAACATTCCTATAGAAAAATACGCACAACCAATACAAAGAATTAAAAAGCAAAAATAAAATCATCCTCGATATAACCGGAAACGCTCGAAATTGCAGAACATTTGGGCAGTTTCTACAAGAAAATACTCATTCCAATGCAAAAATTAAATAAGGAGCTTAATCACAGTACCTTGTCTGTCGTCTGCAATGAAACATATGTATATAAATGTTAGTGTAACTTTGACCCTAGGAATGTCAATAGGCATTGAAAATCATTTACATGCAAAAGGACAAAGGATATGAGTGCTTTCATCGAGATTTCCTAACGAGCACAAAATAGTTGTAATCATCTTCAGTGTTGCCAATGGGTCGCATGAGGAAATAACGCTGATCTCTCGTTTTGACTTATGAGAATAGCTCCTGCATGAAGACTACTGATATGTGTAAGTTCGTCCTGAGATATGACAGATTTATTCGCCCATGACACACAGGCCCACCCTCTGATAAGATCGTCTGGGGACACCTAACTTAACACACTCTCTAACGCTTAGCTCTTTGTGTAAATATGAATAGGCATAGACAACCCATCTTACTGCTATTTCCGTAACAGAGATGATGTAGAATTCCAGGGGGACAATTTTTAAAGGTCCTACACGGACCTTTAGTCAACATTTCCTACAAGATTTACGACATCTTTGTTCAATAAGATCTCTAGGGTGGTTCCCCACTGACCATATATGGCACACGATGGAACAATGTCTGACTCGTTCCTTTATACCATCTACAGCTCTTGTATTATTGCTTCAACATTTGAAGAACACGTGAAATAATACATTCAATATGTACTATGGAAGGTGTTAGATTATTTACGTCTGTAAGAATGTCCATCGTTCGACAAAGTTTAGAAGAACACACACGCATATATATATATATATATATATATATATATATATATATATATATATTGCGATGTTTTCATAATGTATATTGTTACCTGGTTTACTTTGGCAACTGTCCCTTAAAACGTAACAATGTTGCTTAATAGCAAATTTCTAAATAGTTTGAGTTGATTCATCTTTAAAATGAATTTGATGAAAACGTAATATTTTCTGTGAGGCGTGAAATCCATTTTCAGGTCAACGGGTCAAATTCATTAATAACCTAAAAATTGATTTAATTATTGTTAAATAAAAGATGAATCTGTTTGAATCACAGCCATCAAAATATTAATATTATCCCCGTTTTCTGAATTTTTGGAAATTCTTTATAGATACACTCCTTAGTTTTCCCTTATATCTTCACCTTGTCTCTCTCTTTGTCACTATAGAAATCGCCGTTTCTTTCTCTTCCATATTATTCGTTTGCAGACTCAGAATATTTCTTAAACAAAAAGCAAACGAACAGGAAGTTTCAACTTTCTTCATTCACAGAACTGTTGGCTACACCGACATGAATTAGATTAGAGAAGCACATTTTCAACACAGTCTTGTGAGTTCCCGTCTATGTCATGAATGGAATCATTATACATGGTCGACATTGTCAAATGAGCCTGTCAAAATTGGTCAACTTCTGTGTCTAATCCTGAATGACAGACTGCAGCAATATTTATTTTCATTACTAAAAGAATACATGTGCTAAAAAGAGAGAAAAGGAAGTTGTAAGAGAACTTCGTTTTAACTCTGTAAAATTCAAGTATGAACAATATTTTCAGAAAGACAATATTCTAAAGATCCTTTTGTCACTTGAATTTCCGCGTCTCAACGTATTTACTTAGAGAGAAACATTCGGTTTTGTTGAGGTAGACATCAACTTTACACAAATTCACAGATGTTTCCTAACAGAAGCTTTCATTTTATTGTTATTAACACAAGGTTTTTGCTTACACACTCAACGCAATACCAAAAAATATTAATTAACAAAGATTGGGTCGATTTTGGAAAAAATCTCTGGGTAAAAGTTATTCCTTCTCGTGTGACAGAAAATTTCACACGAACAAGCTAATTTAAAGCATACTCACAATGAAAAGTGTTCCTAAAATATATTTACATGTCGCCGAATGACGGCAAGGCAACAGAAATAATGTTATTTTAATCTATTTTGTTATTTTAAACACAAGGTGATAGTTATTTTCTCATGGACACATATATGTTGACTGAAAAATACTCTTTAGGGATCCAAACTTGAGACATAAAACTCATCATTGGAAAATGCAGGTTGAAATTATGCACCTTCAGATATTTTCTTTTCTTGTTAATGATAATGACAAATTTGAGACTCAGTGAAAAGGTTAATCCTCTGTATTATTGAGACTGATAATCAGTATTTTTTCCTATCTAGATTTTTCCAATTTCAGAAGCATTTAGCTGAAAGTGTTCCACTGAAGACATCTTGAAAGTTAGACATTTCGGAGAAATATGATGCATGTAAGAAAAAGACTCACAAGAGCCACCTGAATTGTACATTTGAGCCGACCTCAAACTATATTCTTCAACTGCATTATTGTTTTAACAAATCCGTATCTGGCTCACAGACACAGATAGTTCTAGTATTATTTGGCGGATCTACTTAAATTTAAAGGCATAAAAATCAAATTAATAGTGATAAATTTTGAATTCTTCTCTGAAAATAATTCTTAGTGATAGAAACAAATGTTTTTCAAAACTTTAATTTCAGTACTTTACTTATTTTTGCTTTTTGTTGACTTAGAAAGATAAGGCGGTTTAGCAGCAAATTGCTTAACAATTTACCTCTGAGAATATAATTGTTTAGTTGCATTAGTCACACAATAATTCTATCACTATGGAGCCCGGCATCTGAAATTGAATGTTGATCCGTCGTGTCATTTATGATGTCAAAAGCAAAATCAATCTTAAATTCTAAGTTCGTTTTGCTAAAAATTGCTTTATTTCGCTGGCAATGGGGTACTGTTTTTTTCCTGACCTCGAATGACATCTGTCACTTTTAGCCTATGCCACTGAAAGGTGCTTTGTGATTATTTTTATGCAAGAGAACTCAGGTTCGTAAGCCTTTCTGAAACAAGAAAACAGAAACCTGAAATGTTAACATAAAGTGTCAGTTTTAAAAATGTTTGAAAGATAATTTATATGTATTTTGTTTAGCATCACCGAAGTTGAGAATTATAAGCATTGTCGGTTCCGAAAGTTCTTCATTATAAATAAAATGTGAGAAATTACTTTTTATTTTTCTGTTCTCTTGCTGTCTACGTGCGAGCGTGTGTGTATGTGTGCAACTGTATCTGATTCATCTTGTGTCTGTTACTACGTTGTATCGCTTGTTGTTTAAATAAGCTGACCATTGGCCAAGCTATTCCCAAAAGAGAAAAAAGAATGATCGGTCACTCGGTACAGCGCAGATCGAAGAGCTGATTTTCCGTGTTTTTACTTTGATAAAAAAAACTGCCATTTTACCTTACTTGAATTAGACTTTGTCCATTGATCAGTTAAGCAAATAGGTGTGGAGGCAAAAGTTTTCTCTTTTCAGCTTCTATCAAACAGTTATTCTGTCAATCATGTCTTCGTCTTTGTTATTTTATTGATTTGACCGCCTTAGATAGACTTATTCATTGCACTCAATTCTTTTGCTCTCTAACTCAAACGCCCTGTCATGTTTTTTATACTTCTCTCTTTCATTCCCACGATTATTTTATTCTTTTTCTTATACTTTTGTTAGGGACTATCATCCCGTTGTCATGCATACAAATTCTACGAAAAGTAGATAGTTTCCTTGTGTCCTTAAAAAACATTTTTAATAAGCATAAACATGAATTTAGAGGCATAACAATTTTTAATTATTGCACCGAGAATACAATAATTGTAAAATGTAGACAACTGATAGTTAATAAAGCGGGCAAAACGAGTTGCCAGAAATGTAATAGCAAACATCAACTAATCAGTTACTTATAAAACAGAGAAGTCTCGCGGGAATGATATTATTTCCCGAGAGTTATATGTGCTTTCTGTCTAAACCTCACGTTATGAAGTGAAATGGCCTGTATTAGAAATCTGCGTGTTATCCGCAATTACTGGTTGAATCGCAATTAATATAATGTAATATAGTCACTTTAATCGAATCATTTTTTTTATAGGCCAGTGATCCCATTTCTCTAACAGTAAAACTGTCGATATCCTAGGATGTCAACATTAGTCTTGTTTAAGGAATTCTCGTTTTATTTTAAATGTTAATTGGAGTTAGAGTGAAAGGTTCAATCAAACAAGAAACCAATTTTGTCCTGCTATTTCCGATCACAGATACAAACAGAATAGTTCTGCTGCTACTGAGATTTGATAAAGCTCATCTTAACGAAAGCTTGTGAAATACTATATAATAAACCATGTAATAATATTTGAATTTGAATCATTTGATCCGATTACGTGCATTTCCTTCATTCGACGACGTGTAAATATAAATAAAACACTCTGGATCTTGATGGCAAAACCACATTATGGTAATAGGATACGCATGCGAGCTGTTACTAATGCTACGTGAGTTTGGAATGAATATTTTCATTTTCAGTATCTCTTACTTTTCTACTCTTTCCTTCATTAATGATAATTATTTAACTCCGAGCACAAATTGTTTGAATAATCTTAATTCTTCTTTTCTCAGTATTTAAACCTTTTTCATCGCTTATTATCAACTCCCACAGGCGTTCCAAATTGTCAGCTGATATTAGACTAATCTCAAAGTAACGAATATCATTGTACACTCTTGCAGTCGAGCAATATCTAATACATTGCCTCGATCATATCTGAGTGCCTCGTTATTGACCGCTTGCTGGAGAACGCCATTTGGTAGATAATTCCTTCGGGCCATTGTCTGGGAGTACGAGCTTCTTCGGTGTTTCACGCTAATCTAATCAACGAAATGAGAGCTTGCATTTCCGCCATAAAACACGAACGGCTTTTTGGCGAGGTGAATTTCAGAATTTATCAGTATGACTGAAACTTTGTCATCCCTTCAACCAATTGCCACTCGCGCTCCCCTCTTCTTGTTTCCTTTTTTTTAATAATGTGTTTTTCACCGAGAAAGAAAGGCTCACACTTATTCATTCCTCTCCTCCTCCTCCTCCACTCTTGGAAAGTTCCTTTTCCCTCCTCTAATTTCCTCTTTTTTCTTCTTTCTTTCCTTCTCCACCTATCGCGGCCATGTTCGAAGTTACCAGGCTGCCATAAATCGTTTCCAGTTGTAGAAAGAATAAGAAAGTCGGAAAAAACATAAGCTCATCTCATGACGTGCGAATGATCTGGGGCCTGTCTGTGGGGAACTGGCACTAAGTACATGCGGTTGTGCAGAGAAAGCCTGTCGGCTCGGTCTTCACGTGGTTCGAGTAAAATGAAAGAAAGCGTGAGAATTGCGTACCGCCATTTTGATGTGGTTCTTTGTTACATCAGTTTGGGTGGTGGCTGCAAGATGGGGTCGAGCTTCGAGATGAAATTGGATTTTCGATAGGGATGATCGAATGGTGGAGAAGAAGAAGCAGGGGTATATGTGAAGAAGTATATTGGCAAACGCCCCTAGCGAAGGGTGTGTCCAGGGAAATAACTACTACAATAAACTCTTCACTTCACTCACAGCTGCGCAAACGGATCTGCAAGAAACAAGTAGAGTAGAACAAGTTGAGAATGGAGAGGGGAAAATGAGTGAAGGAAAGAGAAAGGTGAATTGCAGAAGACGGAATGATAGAGTGATGGAAAGAGAATCAATAAAATACAGAAAATGAAACCAAAATGGATGGAATAACACGTTAAAAATATAAAACGTTCAAAGAAATACAATGAAATAATACTTCAAAAGAAAACATTAAAAAAAATGGAAAAAAGTATAAAAGGAAGGAGCAAGAAAAAGAAATTCAAATTGAAAGGAAAATTTTAATGGAAAATATAAACAAGTGAAAAACGTTAAAAGAGGAAAAAAAACGTGTGGTAAACAGGTGCGGACAAATGTTTTAGTCAGAAGTGAAGCATGACCGTTGGTATTGGTGAAAATGACGCGAATATTTTAGCTAATAGTTGTGGTGATGGTGGGGGACATTAAGACATTGAAAGAAAAGATCAAAAGAGAAAGGTATTATGACATAAGAGAAAGGAATATAATTAAGACCTTCATCAAAAAGAAATAAAAAAAGGGAATGAAAAATTCAACGAATGAAAGGAGAAATTAAGATAGAAAAGGAATTAGAAGAGTTTCTTAAAATCATCAAAAAAGAAAAAAAAATTCCAAAATGTGGAAATGGAAAATAAAGAAGTAGCATAATGCGGTAAAAAAAAACGATAAAGGGAAATGTCTCATTATGTTTTCCCTGTTTCGTGGATATTTCATGTCAGTTAAAACTCATCTGTCATTTTTTTCTCCGAGTAGCTAATCTGTTTCTTTCACCGAAAAAGAATATGTGGTCTTTTAGCACAACCAGATACAAAAACTGAACTCAAAACTACGAG